CCAAGGGTAGCATTCCCTGCTGCTCCCAGTCCCACATGGTGCTCCAAGGGTAGCATTCCCTGCTGCTCCTGGTCCCACATGGTGCTCCAAGGGTAGCATTCCCTGCTGCTCCTGGTCCCACATGGTGCTCCAGGGGCAGCATTCCTGGCCATGCCTGGTCCCATACGGTGCTCCAACGGCTGTGCCCAGACCCACAGAGTGCTCCAAGAGCAGCATTCCCAGCTATGCCTGGTCCCACACGGTGCTCCAAGGGCAGCATTCCCAGCCATGCCCGGTCCCACACAGTGCTCCAAGGGCTGTGCCCGGTCCCACACGGTGCTCCAAGGGCAGCATCCCCTGCTGCTCCTGGTCCCACACAGCGCTCCAAGGGCTGTGCCCAGACCCACAGAGTGCTCCAAGAGCAGCATTCCCAGCTATGCCTGGTCCCACACGGTGCTCCAAGGGCAGCATCCCCAGCCTGTACCCAGTCCCACACGGTGCTCCAAGGGCAGCATTCCCAGCTGCTCCTGGTCCCACATGGCGCTCCAAGGGCTGTGCCTGGACCCACCCGGTTCTCCAAGGGCAGCATCCCCGGCCGTGCCCGGTCCCACACGGTGCTCCAGGGGCAGCATCCCCTGCTGCTCCTGGTCCCACCCGGTGCTCCAAGGGCAGCATTCCCAGCCATGCCCGGTCCCACACAGTGCTCCAAGGGCTGTGCCCGGTCCCACACGGTGCTCCAAGGGTAGCATTCCCAGCCATGCCCAGTCCCACACGGTGCTCCAAGGGCAGCATCCCCTGCTGCTCCTGGTCCCACACAGCGCTCCAAGGGCAGCATTCCCAGCTGCTCCTGGTCCTACCCGGTGCTCCAAGGGCAGCATTCCCAGCTGCTCCTGGTCCCACCCGGTGCTCCAAGGGCCGTGCCTGGTCCCACCCGGTGCTCCAAGGGCCGTGCCTGGTCCCACACGTGCGGGGCCACCCCGGGGCTACTCACCGGGGCGAAGTCTGCGGGGCCGCAGCGCCGGCCGCGGTAGCGGCAGCTCAGCAGCATGTCCTCCAGCCGGTGGCAAGTGCGGTTAAAAAACCCAAACAGATTGAGGGGCTCCTCCTCCTCCTCATCCTCCTCCTCCTCCCAGGGGCCGGGCGGGGCCGGGGCGAAGCCCAGCTCTGTGCCAAAGCCCAGCTCTGTGCCAAAGCCCAGCTCCACGCCGGGCTCGTAGTGGACCAGCGGGGCCAGGTAGAGCAGGTCCCGGCGGCTGAGCTGCGAGAGCCGCACGCGGTTGACGTTGCAGAAGGTGACGGCGGGGAAGGTCATCTCGGGGCTCTGCTCCTCGCGGAGCAGCGTGACGTGCTGGTGCTCCAGGTAGCAGGCGACGCGGTCGCCCACCTGGTAGAGGAAGGCCAAGAGGGAGAGGAGGAAGGCCAGAGCCCAGAGCGCCTGCCGGGCGCCCAGCCCGCCCTCCACGAAGATGTGGCTCAGCCCGTGCAAGGTGCAGCTGCTGGCGAAGGCTGCCAAGTCCGTGGCTGCCCCTGCGTCCTCCTCCTCCTCCTCTTCGTCGTCCTCCTGCCCGTACAGGAACTCGTCCGCTCCGTCTTCTCCCTTCCCGGTGTCCGTGGCGTCCTCAGGCCCTTCCTCGCTGGAGAAGGAGACGGTGCAGAGTATCTGGAGAGGCATCGCCCGCTCTGGGGGGGCCCAGCTCTGGAGAGGGGGGTCCTGGTCCCCGTCCAGCCACAGCCTGGGGGTCTTCGGTGCTGGGTCGGTTCCTCGGGGTGCGGGTGAGAGGGGCGGGGAAGGAGGGAGAGCGAAGGGGCGAGTTCAGAGAGGAGAAACGGAGAAGGAAAGAGGAGCGAGGGAGGGAGAGGAGCAGAGGGATGCTCGGAGGGGACGGAGAGAGGAGGGTATAAGAGGAGCAGGAGCAGGGGAGGAGGAGCGAGGGGCGGTTCTGCGGGCTCCCCACGTCCCCCGGGACCAGGACGGAGCAGAGACACCACCGGCTCCAGGAGCACCTCGGGAGCTCCCGGTGCTGCCCGGGGGGCTGCCAGGCCCCGGGAACGGGGGTGTGTGTGTGCAGGTCCCCTCTGTGCCGTGTCCCCACGCCGTGTCCTCCGCCCTCCCTGCGTGGCCTGGCCCTGGCAGCCCGAGCGGCTGCTCCAGCCAGTGCTCCCTGCTGGGTCCGGGCTGTCTCTGGAGCTGCCATATGCCGGGCTCTGAGAGCTCCTCCTCGGGGCAGCAGGAGCCAGAGGTTTTCCCAAAATGCCTGCGGCGTTGTGCTGTTGTGGTGCCAGGAGGGCAGAAGGACGGAGGGGTCCCCGAGCTCCCTCGGTGCTCATCCTGTCCCGGCAGGGCCCGTCCCCATGGACTGATTCCCCCATGCCAGGAGCACCCAGCAAATCCGACATTCCAAGCCATCTTCCTCCAGGCAGGGATGGTTTTGGAGGGATTTGGGTGTTGTTCCAGTCGTGGCTCCTCCTGCAGAGCCCAGCCAGTGCCGGGTGTGCCACCTCGTGCTTGGGATCCCAGCTGGGCACAGGGAGCCACCGCTTCCCTCAGGGAATGGCATCCAGGCCTCGTGCTGGGAATCCTGGAGGGCAGCCCTGGTCCGGGGGGCTGGGATGGAGAAGGCTGGGCTGGGAATCCTGGAGAGAAGGCTGGGCTGGGAATCCTGGAGAGCAGCCCCTCTGCAGGGTGGTGGGACGGAGCCTCCATCCAAGCTGGGAATTCCAGAGAGCAGCCCTTTTGCAGGATGGTGGGATGGAGAAGGTTGGGCTGAGAATCCTGGAGAGCAGCCCCCTTTCAGAGTGGTGAGATGGAACCTCCATCCAGGCTGGGAATTCCAGAGAGCAACCCCTTTGCAGGGTACTGGGATGGAACTGGTGGCCAGGCTGGGAATCCTGGAGAGCAGCCCCTTTTCAGGGTGGTGGGATGGAGAAGGCTGGGCTGGGGGTCCCAGGGAGCAGCCCCTCTGCAGGGTGGTGAGATGGAGCCTCCACCCAGGCTGGGAATCCTGGAGAGCAGCCCCTCTGCAGGGTGGTGGGATGGAGCCTCCATCCAGGCTGGGAATCCTGGAGAGCAGCCCCTTTGCAGGATGCTGGGATGGAGAAGGCTGGGCTGGGGGTCCCAGGGAGCAGCCCCTCTGCAGGGTGGTGGGATGGAGCCTCCATCCAGGCTGGGAATCCTGGAGAGCAGCCCCTCTGCAGGGTGGTGAGATGGAGCCTCCACCCAGGCTGGCTGCCGGGATCTCGGGTGTCTCCTCCCTGCAGCAGCGCGGCCCCTTCTCGTGGTTTTGCTGTTTTCCTGCACTCAGCACTTGGTAAAAGCATCCAGAGACCACAGAACCACCTCCAGCCCTGCCAGCACTGGCCCAGGGGGGAAGGGGAGCATCGAATTCCAGCAGCACCGGGATGTGCAGGGGCTGGGAGGGAGGTTCTGGCCCGTGCCTGGGTGGGATGAGCTCACCCCAAACCCCCAACTCGGCTGCTGCACCTCCTTCCCTGCACACGCCACGGGCCCTGAGCACATCCCGGCACAGGGGGACACAACAAACTGGGTGGACAAATCCCTCAGGAGAGGGTTCTCTGCCATTCCCGAGCTGGTGACACCGGTGGGACGGGCGGGACACGCACGGGGGACCCTGCTGGGGGTGACCAAGGGTGTGACAGCGGCTTGTCCCTTCCCGGGGCTCCCCGAGCTCAATATTCCCAACAGGGAATGTGTAAGAGGGATGCTGCTGCATCCCACAAAGCCTGGGGATCTGGGAGAAAGGGTGGGTGACCTTGGGGACAAGCGCCAGAGCCGGGGGCTGAAATTTCATCCAGCCCAGAGCAAGGTCGTCCCTCCTGGGAGCAGCTCCGAGAGCCCGAGCTGGAAAATCCTCCCGGGAAAGGGGGCCAGGGAGGTGGATTGGGGGGCTGGGAGCCACCAGCACGTGGGGGTCAGGGCTCTAAAGGCATCAGGGATCCTCCTGGGATGGGGAGTGGGATCACTGGGCTGGCTCAGCCCTGTGGGAACAGGCTGGGAGCGAGCTGGGCTCATCCCACACCGAGCAGAGCTGGAGGATGCTCTTGGCAGGGAGGAGCAGGGAGGAGCTGGGGTGGGGGTTCTGGAGCTCCCCAGCTCTGGGACAGGGGTTCTGTGCCGTGGCTGCAGGAGGGAGAGGGGAAGGGGAGTGGAATTGCAGGCTGAGGGGGTTTGTTCGGCCCTGGCAGGGACGGGCAGGCGAGTTCTGCTGCCCAGTCCCTGCCGGGGCCAGCGAGGGGCTGATCCCACCCCTTGGCACGGGGAAGGTTTAATGTGTCTTCTCGGGAGCGATTGCAGCAGGGAGAGAGAGAGAGAGGGAGGGAGAGAGGGAGATGCTGTAATGAAAACGTTCCATCATCGACTGGGGCCATTAACCTGCCTCGCTCGGCTCAAAGAGCTCTCGGGGAGCGCCGGGGCCGGTTCCCGGCGGCCGCTCGGGGCGGGGGGGGAGGACGAGCCGGGCCCGGCTCCGGTTACACCCCCTGTCCCATCCCCGCGGCCTGAAGGTGACCGGTGACATCCCCAGCCCGGCACCGGCGCCAAGGGGAGCGTGTCCCGACCCCCGCGGCCGGGGGACAAAGAGGGCAGGGCGGTGCCGTCCCGCTTTTTTTGTGCGCGAGTTTTGGGAGACGCTGGAGGAGTCCTTGGGCTCCTTCCAGCTCCTCCCCCGCCAGGGAAGTTATTTTTACCCTCTCTCTCAGGTAAAAGCTTTTGGCGGGGGCGAGGGACGGGGGATGTTTATAATTAGCCGTGACATCAACCCCCGTGGCGGGGCCGCCGCGCCCGACCCGGGGATGCTCCTCCCGCCGCAGGGAGGGATGTGGGATGGGGGGACAGGGATGGGATGGGGGACAGGGATGGGATGGGGGACAGGGATGGG